GCCTTTCGCCCTGCGCACCAGACGGCCGAGGTCATTTTTATTATTCGCCTCCTGGTTGAGAAAGCTATCGAATTTCGGATACCATTGCATATTGTTTCTGGTGATATATATAAATGTTATGACTGTGTTGACCATGGTGTCTGGTGCCACGCTTTCAAGCTCGCCTCGGTGCCCGATGTCATTACCGCCGCCATGATCCGCGAAGTTAGACGCGGACGAGGCCGTCTCGCGCTTCCTCGCCTGCCTCCGTCGCAGCCGATATCTCGGACTCGATCGATATATCAGGGCGACCCAGACGGCCCTCGCAAGTGTAACATCATTATGGAACATACTCTCATTCGTCCCTTCCTCTCCATTTGCAAGTCCAAGGGCTGGGGCTACCGTATGGATTTTGAAGACGCACGCCCGCTGGGCTTCGAGTATTATGCGCACACCAGGAGGGGCGAGGATTCGCAGCAGATTCGAAGAGTCCCGCTACTCATCTTCGCCGACAACTTTTGGCTGCTAGGTCTCACGCCGTCGATGGTGACCCTCATGACTGATGCTTGGAATAATCTAGTACGGCTAGCAGGCTGGTGGGTGGACTTGAATGAGATGCAGTGGACAGCGTCTGAGGATCACCAATCACGACTGGCCGTGCATGATGTCTGGGCCCAGCCCAGCCCCCAGAGGTCCGCCGCGGCCCCTCGGCCCACCAAGCGCCAGAAGAAAACCGAGGATATCGCCCTCCCCGTCTTTCACATCCCTTTCACTCCGAGAGAGCAGGGGATAAAGGTCCTGGGCCATCAGATTACCTTCGATAACAATGCTTCGGTCGAAGTGGACAGGCGCATACGTGCCGCCTGGAGTGCTTTTGCTCGCCATAAGAAGCTGCTGACCACGAAGTGCGGCACCATCTCCAATAGGTTGAGATTGCTGCACAAAGTTGTCCTCCCCGCCCTGACCTACAACATCGGGACCCTGCATCTTACTCAAGACCATCTTCGAAAAATTCGGGCCGTCCAGATTGCTATGGAAAGACGTGTTATTAAACGCAAGCTGCCCCCCCCACCCCCCCCCTCCCCCCCCCCCCACACCACCACCACCACCACCACACACACACACACACACACACACACACGCACACCACACACACACACACACACACACACACACACACACACACACACACACACAACACACACACACACACACACACACACACACACACACACACACACACACCACCCCCGAAAACGACCCGCCCGCCCCCGACTACGACGACGACGATGACGACGAACAATGACCAGATGAAGGCCCCCGAGGTTCCTGAGACAGGCCACGTGGACCCAGATAAGCTGGACGAGTTCGAGGATTTCGAGGAGGACTTCTTGGGGGACCATCTGGCGTATGTCAACCGTCTGAGGGCCCACTATCTAGACAAGTTAGGTCTCCAGAGATGGGATATAGTCTGTTTGTGCCGTGTTTTCGACTGGTGTGGCCACGTGTGTAGGTTCCAGAAGTATGCCCCTGACAGGCTTGCACTCCTGGCCCTGCTGTGGAGGGGTCAACGCTATCTGGCGGACGTTAAAACACGTTTTGGCTCCCAGTGCCACGGCCACATTTTCAAACCTTGGAGATTTGAGGGCCAATTTAAGTTTCTGATCAGTCAAGACTATCAGGAATTAGCCTCCGACCCAGAGATGTGGCAGGACAGCCGCACAGCCTGGTTGAAGAGGAGGCTCGGACGGTCGTCACGACGATGATCGCGCTCAGGCGCGCCCACGCCCGCCTCTCTTCCATCGCTGCTGTCTCTTTCACTTGCCCAGGTAGTTCTGCCATCCAGCGGGAGTTACACCTCCATTCAGGCTGAGTCGTATCGTATCGTACCATCATCATCATCATCATCATCATCATCATCATCAGCATCATCATCATCCTTTCGAGCTAGCCAGGTTCGATCCGATTCGATTCCGACCTCCCGACGATCCGAGGCCGATGCTCGCACGCCGCTGTTGTGCACCTTGGCGGGGCCTAGTCGCTCCGGTTCCGAATCCGTGCCGATGCGGTCCAGATCGATGAACGTTCGAATTCGATCCGACCTCCCGATTCGATGCTCACTGATCTTGCCCCAAGTAGGTACCAGAGGTAAGTCGGGCCTATCCCTCTACAGGAGGAATATTAAAAAATTCTCCAAGCATAGTCTGGGGACGCTTTTTCTATATATGTTTGATCATTTCTGGACTATTTTTAATTTTCCTCCAAAGTCCGCCTGTAGGGGGACATGCCCGACCTAACACCAGAGGGGGACGTCTTCATGGTATGTGGACCCAGAGAAGCCCACCGCCCATTTTTGTCCGCTGCCCCCCGATGACCGAGCTCATAAGAGACGGGTCTCTGTCGCCAGTGCAGTAATGGTTGTTGCTTGCCGCTTGTTTGCCGCCAGGGGTGGAGTTCGCTTCGGCCACACATATTCCACAAACTGGCGACAGGGAGCTCCAACGTTGCAACTTCTTCACAGCATGGACCCCCGGAGGTCTGGACCCCCCTCGCAGGACCAGGTGTTCATCGTGGGCCGACTCCTGCTCACGGTCCAGGGGCCCGGCGCGGGCCCCCGGAGGCCGAAAGTGCCCCAAACCTGTCCGTCGTGATTTTTGTTTGTTCGCAGCGCGAGGAGGCCTGGGAAGGAGGGTGCCTGCCAGGGGTGCGTCGTGGATGTTCAATCACGAGGAGTCTCCCGAAGGCCTCTCCGACAGGGTGCCGCCTGCCCGCGGCGACACCTCGGCGGCTCTCCTGTGCCGTGCCGTGCCGGAGCTGCGAGCAAGCCACCCTTCCGCCAGGTGCTCCACGCAGATTTCTCAGCGGGGTGCCTCCCCAGACTTATGTTGCTCCCATCGTATTCAAGGACCGCATCCCAGAAATGATTTCGATCACCCCGGAAAGTATCAGAACAGTGTCGAACGGGTGTCGCCTCCCAGGGTCCAGCACGTGAAAACCCTCCAGTTGCGGTTTTTTCCTGGTGCTCGAAATTCTTTCTGGTGTTCAAGGCTAAAGTTGGCTGGAACATCATGACCCAGTCATCTTCGCGTGGAAGAAAAATCACACCAAAAACACAGGGTTTGGGGCCGTTCTTGGCCCCTTGGTGCCCTTTAAAAATTGCTGGGGCCGTCAAAAAGTCGGTTCGGGAGGAGGGAACCCCCCCTCAACAAAAAAAATCGGCCGTTGGAGCTTTGAGCCATTGGATCTGCAGCGACATCTTCAGCGATGTCTGTGAAAAGTGCTGGAGACACGCAGAGAGTCGTCGTGGTCCGGATAGTCGTCTTGCAGAGTCTCCTGGAGAGTCGCTCTTGCGGGCGCTCGCATGTTTTCCAATGTTCGGCGTGCCTTTGTGACAGCAGCAGACCTCTTCGGGAGCGCTGGAGATTGTCGCGAAACTTCCAGGGCAAAATGATTCGGGCTTGCCATGCTGTCTTGCCCCCGCGAATTTCACTTGCTCTGCTAATTACAAGTCCCGAAGTTGACTATGTTTGTTAACCTGCCCCCGCAAAGTTGGTTTACGATGCCGATTTGCTGTAACAGCGTGCCTACGCTGAGATGATTTGTAACCCTCGCTTTCCCTTGCGAGGTTGTCTGGATTGCTGTTGCCGTATATTGTTGACGCGCCTCCGCGAAGTTGGTTTACCGACATTAGTTCGCCCTTGCAGGGTTGACTTGCGCCTTACTCTGATTGACCTGTCATGGCTGAGTGTAATTACGCACCCTATCGGCGTGCATCTGCGGAGAACGCGGCAGGTGCGCATCACTTGATTTGGTCATTCTTGGGCTCCGCCGACGCAAGAGGAGGAGTAAGAATGAGCGAGCAGCGAGGAAGGAGGAGGAGGAGGAGGAGGAGGAGTCGGCATCGGAATCGGACTCGGAGCGGGCGCGAAGCATCACAACAAAGCCACTTGACATACAGTTAATCCTTGGGCTTGAAGCCCCTGGAAAATCTATCAAGATACTCTCGCCTCCTGGCCGCCAGAGACATACGCCTTCCTCAAATCTCGGGTCTGAGCAGAACCACGATGGGCACATAAATTGCAGAGAACCGAGGCCCACTGTCAGTATGAGGATACATGACGTGGGTCGCAAATGGTGCCCAGCCACGTCGTGCAAGCAGCTCTGCTCGTGGCCGAGGAACACCGCGTGCACCTCCTATCCTCAGCGCCGATCTGGTGGGAGGAACGGAGCGGGGCGACAGCAGCCGCCGCAGGTGGCGGCGGCGGAGGCGGAGAGGGAGGAGGGGCCGAAGGAGCAGAGGGATTGGACGGGTCAGGTTTCTTGTTTGTTATCGCCACGACATCCCACTGAGCCCGCGTTCGTCTCTTCTGGACTTGGCAAGCCTGGGCCGCCACCTCCAGAACAGCCACGCGTTGGGCTCGAGGTCAGCGCACTCTCTCCGCACAGATCCTGGAAAATTCATCAACTGCAGCGTTACCGATGTCGAGTATGGAGGGGATACCACGAGTATGGACTCAGGAAATCCAAACAACAGATATGATGATCTGGCCGACCCTGCTCATCTAAAGTCTTCCCGATATCTCTCCAGATGACCACCATCTCCCCCGACGGGTTCCGATGTTTCTTGGCCCACCACCCTTCCACCACCGCCTCGTTATCCTACACATAGACGACTGCGCCCGTAGTGTAGCGTAGGGCTAGATGAAGACCATGTTCCCCCCGAGGAACAGTAGGAGGCGGAGGAGCGCACCCAGCACATGGCGCGCTCACGCGCTCCAGAGAAGGGCCTCGCCATTGAGGGATCGGAAATTTGCCGCCTCATCTTCGGCGAAAGGCCGGCGGAAGCTAGCGAGAGCAAAGAGATTGCGCCTCCGTCGTCGGAAGCCGGCAGATGCAGAAAATGCGCCCCACAGGGATGTGCCAATCATCTCGGATTCAGGGTTTCCAGAATTGATTGCGTGGTGGCGTTGTACTAACATGCTGTCTTCGCCGTCCACGCGAAATGGTTCTCGCCGTCGCAGGCGGGAGCCGAGCAATTCTTGCCCATGGTCTTGCACCACGGCGCGTGCGTCAGTGGCCCCCTTAGTCTTGGGACAGGAAGGGCTGATGGGATGGATGAGTGACCAGAGGCTTTACACCGAAGGGGATGGGTGACGAGAGATGACGCGTTCGTCGTTGGGGAGGCATGACGGGAGGATTGCGGCAGAAGTGTTCGAACCGCATATCTCCGATTCTTTTCTGTTACCGCTACCAAAGTCACTAATAAGACTCGTGTCCCCAACCTTTGTCCATCTTCCTCCGACACCTCAACTGCAATGAGCAACTCATCAGCATCAGCAGCAGCAGCATCATCATCATCATCCTCATCATGACCATCATCATTAACAACAACAGCAACAATATCAACATCAACAACATCAGCAGCAACATCAGCATCAGCAGCAGCATCAGCACCACCATCATCATCATCATCATCATCAGCAGCAGCAGCAGCAGCATCATCGTCGTCATCAGCATCATTATCACCATCATTATCATCATCACCATCATCATCAGCAGCAGTATCCCCCTCCTGTTTAACATGTGTTTTATCATTCCCATTTGGGTATTTGCAGGATTGCGTTGGATTGAGTTGGGTTGAGATGTTTTGATTTGGACTGGGCTGAATTGAACTGGTACTACGTGGTCTGAGATCTAGTTCGATACTTCCGCGCAATGCGCTCCGGAGTGCGGCTGTCGAATCCCCAACAACCCATTCAACCAAGTAATCGTTGTTGTCTGTGCGCTTACGAGGTCGTTACGTAGCCGCTTGGATTCTCCCCCCTCCTCCATCGGGAGGGCAGTGGAGCGTTTGCCACCTGAGCCTGCTTAACAAATTAGTCCGAACTCTGGGCTGCCGCTCGAGGCACCCTCACAATTCAGCCACGGGGTGTCCATGCTGGTTGAGTTTTAATATGGTATGTGCGTTGCAGTTCGGTTTCACCTCCTTTACGGGAAAGTGGTGGCCGCTGTAGACTTGCTACCACAGGGCGGCCTTCGGCCCAGCCCTTCACCATGTTGTGGGCCAGAGGCTTCTTAGATACATCTTGGGAGCCCTCTTGGGTACCTATTGAAAGCCTCTTTGGGGTCTCTTGGGGGGCCTCTTGGCATCTTGGTGGTCTCGGAGGCTACCTTGGGGCTCAGGGCTCTAAATGTCAGTTTGTGCTCCCCCTCTGAGGCAGTCTTGGGGCTCTCTTCGGCACCCCTGGGGGGCTTGGAAGCCATTTTGGGGCCTCTTGTGATGCCTTGGGCGCTCCAACGACCAGGCCAAACAGGCGAGAATGCTAAGGCCACACAAACCCCAAATCGATGTCGAAGATGTGGGCCTGTCGGGCAGGCCCCGAGGGCCTCCAAGACGATCCAAGAGGGCTCCAGGATGGGCCCTGGGACCATCTTATCGGGGGAGCGTAAGACCCGGGTTTGCCAGGACTCGGGTTCGCAATTTTTTTGACGACCGCGACTCGGATTTTGACGAGTAGGAGTTTCGTGGGATGTCTGCAGCGGGAGGCCTCGTCAAAATGCAGGCTCGGCCTCGTCATTTTTTTGACGACCTCGTCGGGGATTTCCGAGTCCCCCGTACCCGGGTCTTACGTCTCCCCGATCTTACCCCACGTTGGAAGTATGGGATCCGGTCCACTCTCCGGAGGCCTTGGAAAAAGTGGCGCACGCCGCCCGAGCAGCGCCCAGGAGCGCTCAGGGCACGAGGCACGGGTCCCCAGCAGGAGCACGACCAGTATTCAGCACAGAAAACTCAAAGGGAACTCCTCCTCCTCCTCCTCCTCCTCCTCCTCCTCCTCCTCCAGGACACTCCAATCGGCGCCTGGTTGGTTGGCGATGGGGTGAGGGCGCGGGGTGTCCGTTCGTTCCGGCAAGGAGCTTACCCAGAGAAAGAACACGGCTTGGATTGTGATCAGCAGGCGGCGACTGTGAACACAATTGCACTCCAGACACTGTGCCCTGTGATACATCCAGACTCGTCAGTACAAGCATTGTTTGGGGGAAATAGAAAACGTTGTCTGACAGCTCCCCCCCTAGATGCAGCATGCAGCTGCTCTGCTCTTGGCGCCAGTTGATGCTTCTTTGCGCAGAGATGTCCGCTCAGCGGTGGCCAGGCAAACTTAGTTGTCTAGTGTTGGATTCGCGAAAGAGTAGATCAATTCACGCAGAATCGGAGCATTGCGACCTGCTTCGCGTTTTCAGCACATCCATGCCACTAATACCTCCAATCCGATGTCCAACTCTCCCTTCCAGCTTCCCCCGCTCTCGTAGCCTGCGCCCTTTCCATCGCCCCATCTCTGCTCACCGAACTGACTTCCTGATTGGCTTCAATCGAAAAATGATATCGAGATTCTGACAGGTTATCGAGGGCGTGCGGTTCCGCAGCAAGCTCTACCATAGCGGCTTGCTTGTTGGAGCGATGATCGAGAAAAGTCGTGTGCCTGATTCAGGGAGACAGCGGAGGGCAGGAGAAGAGGTAGCAGGCTATTGCTCGTTGCGCACGCCTTCGATCTGATTCGGGAAGCATTGCTCCAAACTCCAGTTGCGTCGTTTTCAGAGCACGCGTCAACCAGCATGTGTCATGGCGCCAACATCGCAGAGCGGATTTCGTTCGGATTTCAATAGGGTGGGCCTGGGGTGTCCTGGAGAATTTCGTTCCGGATTTCGAGGTGAATTTCGTGCGGACTTTTTGGCCAGGACTGAAGACCAAAAATAATCCACGCGAAATTAATTTCGTTTTTCGCTCGCCGCGTCGGGCAAACATCCACGCGGAAATCCACACAGAAATCCGCTGCAGCACGTCTGCAAGGCCGGTGCAATCACATGCGGCATCTTATATCGAGGCGGCAGTGCGGCAAGGCAGTTGCAGGTTGAGACTCGCCGCCGCGAGCCTGCTCGCGCGCGGGCCCCGATGGTGTGCGCCACGGCCGTCATGTCGACCTCGGAAAGATGATGTGACGAGCGGATGTTCCTACCATGGGTTGGTGGGGGAGCAGGAGGAGGGGGAGGAGGAGGAGGAGGAGGAGGAGGAGGAGGAGGAGGACGACGAGGACGAGGAGGAGGACGAGGAGGAGGGAGGAGGAGGAGGAGGAGAGAGGAGGGGGGAGGAGGAGGAGGAGGACCTCCCCATCCTCCCTTCTCCCCCGTCTTACCTATGGTAGTGGCGGTGGGAAATCTGCCCATCATGATGCATGATGTTGACAGATTCCAGGGCCCAACCAAAATACGAGATTGCTCCATCGGACGAGAAGATGACCGCGCTCCGCGGTCTGTGCTGGAGAGGTGTCATGCTGCAGGGGGCGGCGGGAGAAGGAGGAAAAGGAGGAGGAGGAGGAGGAAAAGGGGAGGAGGAGGAGGAGGGGGAGGGAGGAGGAGGGAGGGAGGAGGAGTAGGAGGAGAGAGGAGGAGGAGGAGGAGGAGGGAGGAGGAGGAGGAGGAGGAGGAGGAGGAGGGGAGGAGAGGAGGAGGAGAGGAGGAGGAGGAGGAGGAGGAGGAGGAGGAGAGGAGGAGGAGGTGGGAGGAGGAGGAGGAAGAGGAGGAGGAGGAGGAGGAGGAGAGGAGGACGAGGAGGAAGGGGAGCAGGAGGAGGAGAAAGGGAGGGGAAAGGAGGAGGAGGAGAGGAGGAGGGAGGAGGCGGAGGAGGAGGGAGGAGGAGAGAGGAGGGAGGGAGGAGGGAGGAGGAGGAGGAGGGAGGAGGGGGGGAGGAGGAGGAGGAGGAGGAGGAGGAGGAGGAGGAGGAGGAGGAGGAGGAGGGGGAGGGGGAGGGGAGGGAGGAGGAGGAGGAGGAGGAGGAGGAGGAGAAGGAGGAGGAGCAGGAGCGCGACAAAACGACCGCGCATTTTGCGCGGCGCGGCCCCCTCGCCGGCGCCGGCCGTGTCGCTCTCCCTCGGCTTAAATCGGGCACGTCCCTCTACAGGAGGAATCTTCAAAAATAGTCAAAAAAATAGTCTGGAACGATTTTTTGACTATTTTTGCCAAGTCGGGTGGCATTTTTTAAAGTATTTAAAATTGTTCGCCCAGGAATCCCCCTGTAGGGGGACGCACCCGACTTAAGGATAGGCATAGGGGGGATGCATCGACCCCCAACCGACCATTGATCGCCGATAGGGGCCCGACAGCCCCAGCCTGCCCAAGAAGGTGCGGATTCACTATCGGAGGCTTATCGCCGATCTATCGGCGATGTATCGCCGATTCCAGGTCGATGCATCCCCCCCTATGCCAGTCCCCCCCCGTCGTTGCCCCTGAAATCTTCCGCCGCGCGCGGGCAGCCAGCGGCCGGTCGGGACGATCTGATCATCCCCAGAGTCTCAGGGTTCATTCCCAGAGATCCAACGCATTTAAAAAATCACGACGGAGGTTTTTTACACTCTTCGGCCTCTAGGGGCCCTCACTGGGCCTCGGGACCGTCAAAAAACGACTCAGGATGAAAAACCGGTCCTGGGGAATGGGTCGAGGCTTCCGGGGACCCCGCATAATCACGACATCGGATCTCTGGGTTTCGACTCCTTCAACTCGATGCGATTCGATGTCGCTGGCTTCCAATTCCGCTTGGGTTCGGCTTCGGATGCCGAGGTGGTCTCCGATTTGTCTCTTTGGAGGCCCATACTAGCCCGCCGATTTCCGCCGATTCGGCTTCTCCCGACTCGGCTGCCGATTTCCGCCGATCCGATTCGCTTCGATCGCCGAGCCGACGTAGCGTTAAGTCGGGCGTGCCCCTCTACAGGAGGAATCTGCAAAAATAGGCAACAAGTAGTCTGGGGACGATTTTCTGACTATTTTTGTCCTCCTCCTCCTCCTCCTCCTCCTCCTCCTCCTCCTCCTCCTCCTCCTCCTCCTCCTCCGCGCCAAATCCGCCTGTAGGCGGACCGGCCCGACTTGGACGTAGCGCTTCGATTCTGGGCTCTCCTGGAGTGTTCCCCACGAGGCGCCGGTTGCTGGAGCTTGGCGGCGCGCAGAGGGGGGTAGTAGGGAGAGGGGGGAGGGCTTTTAGAAGCACCCTGCTTCTTAGCAGGCCTCGGCCTTGCGTCTACAGAGAAGGCCCGCGCCTTCTGAGAAGCAGGGGTGCTTCTAAGAAGCCTTCCCCCCTCCCCCTACCCCCCTCTGCGCGCCGCCAAGGATCAGGAGGGGAAGAAACACACAGACACAATTAATCGTCGAGTGCCAGGAAAATAGGGAAAATATGGGAATTGGGCGGGAAGACAAAAATCCAGAAAATATGGAAAAATATGGGGAATCATTTTATTTGTGTCTATTTATTTGTGTGTCCTGGGGCCCCTTCAAAGGAGCGCGCACCGAGGCCAGAGGCGCCCGCGTGCTTCCGGGGCCGAGGTTTGCCCAGCGCTCGGCCGTCGTGGTCCGTGGGCGGCGTCGGCCCCCCCTGCAGGGGGGAAGCTTCAAACACAGCCCCCAAAAAAAACCCTCTGCAGGGGGGAAGCTTCAACCATAGCCCCCCCCAAAAAATAGTCGGGGGACGACGCTTTGATGGTTTCTGGCCCTCTGGGGGGCACTCTGGAGGTATGTTTTGCGTCTCGCCCAAACTTTGATTCTTTTGGCCCTCTGGGGGGTACCCTGGAGTTTTGGGGCCGACGTTTTGATGATTTCTGGCCCTCTGGGGGGTACTCTGGAGGTATGCTTTTTATGTTTCGCCCAAAATGCCCCTGTAGGGGGACACGCCAGACTTAACAGAAGTCTGGACCCCTTTCCTGGGACCGGCGTTTCATCCCAGGTCGCTTTCTGACAGTCCCTGGTGAGGGCCCTCGGAGGCCGAAAGAGGCCCAGAAGTGTCAGTCGTTCAGGTGTGGCCCAACCGACCCTTGGCAAGCCATCCCGCTTCGTGACGTCCCCCTCGCCTCGCCCCAAGACGTGTGCATGCGGCCACAGGGGAGTTCGAAATGCGTGGATGACGCCACGGAAGGGGGTGGCTTGTCAGGGGTCCGTCAGGCCGCGCCCGAGTCGTGGTTTTCCACAACGAGAGGAGGTCTGGGCATTACGGTAGGAGTCGGCGGCGAGCGAGGGGGAGAAGTGAGAAGGAGAAGGCCTTCTCAGAAGGCCTCAGAAGCCCTCGCGCCTTCTGAGAAGTCCTCTGCGTCTTCGGGGGAGACCCAGAAAATTTCTCGGAAGGCCGGGGGAGGTGCGAGCCTTCTGAGAAGGCCCGCCCCTTCTCACTTACCCTCCTCGCTCGCCGCCAACAGAGGAGGAGGAGGAGGAGGAGGAGGAGGAGGAGGAGGAGGAGGAGGAGGAGGAGGAGGAGGAGGAGGAGAGAGGAGGGAGGAGGAGGAGGAGCAGGAGGAGGATGAGGGCAGGGCAGGGCAGGACGGGCAAGGCGAAGGGAAAGGAGAGGGGAGGGGAGAAGCGGAGGGGAAGGGTGTGGGGGAGGGGGGGTTAGGAGGGCGGGGGGGGGGGAGTGGGAGTGGGAGAGGGTGGAAGGGGGGAGGGGAGGAGGGAGGAGGGGAGGGAGGGAGGGAGGTCAGGGGAGGGGGAGCGAGGCGGAGGAGGAGGAGGAGCACGACGAGGACGAGGGACGAGGACGAGGAACGAGGGGCGAGAACGAGGAGTCGACCCGCGGCGGCCCGCGCGGCGCAGGCAGCACCCGCAGCAGCAGCAGCGGCCGCAGCCCGCCGAGGGGCCCCCGCCGAGCCCGCCCGGCGAGGACGCGAGCCGAACCCACGACGGGGCAACGCCGGGAGGGGGGATGGGCTCCGTTCCTATTCCAACAACAACAACAACAACGACAACAACAACAACAACAACAACTACAACAACTACAACAACCACAACCACAACCACAACCACAACCACAACCACAACCACAACCACAACCACAACCACAACAGCAACAGCAACAACCACAGCCACAGCCACAGCCACAGCCACAACCACAACCACAACCACAACCAGAACCAGCACCACAACCACAACCACAACCACAACCACAACAACACCAACACCAACATCAACGACACCAACAACCAGAACCACAACCACAACCACACCAACACCAACACCAACAACACCAACAACAACACAAACAGACAACGATAACGACAACCATAACGATGACGACAACCACAACAACACTCATGTTAAGACTGTTCGCCCTTATCTGCTCGAGTGTCCAATAACGCGTATTTCCCAAACCCTCGATACCCGCCCTCTTCGTCTTCGATCGAAGCCCTTTTGGGGGGTATACCTTTCTTCCCTGCAGGCCGGGCCACGGCAAGCGGCGGGGCGGCCGCGGACCGTCGGCCTGGCCAGCGGCAGCGCTGATCGGCGGGGCGGCCGCGGACCGTCGACCCGACCCCAAGAGGGACGGACAGGGGATCGACCACGACGACGACGACGACGACGACGACGACGACGACGACGACGACGACGACGCGACGGCGACGGCGACGGCGACGGCGACGAGGACGACGACGGCGACGACGAGCGAAAGCGAAAGCGAAAGCGAGAGAAAACGACAGCAGGGCCACGAAGGACACGAAGTAGGCCACGAAGGGCGACAGCGGGGACACGAAGGGAATGCGTATGCGGCCACGAAGAGCGCGAACGAGCGGAGGCCACGAAGGGCAGACAATGCGGGGCCACAGAAGGCAACGATGGGGCCACTGAGGGTAGCAACTGGGCCACGTAGGACAGTGAGGGGGCCACAAACGGCGACAGCGGGGCCACGAAGGGCACGCACATGGGGCCACAACGGGCGGGACTCCTGGGTGCCTGGGTGTCGGGAGTGCGGCGCTTGAGCAAATTGCAGGAAATTCCAACGCAAGGGCGCTCTTCAGTAAATTGCAAGCAAGTCTCCAGCGAGAGCGCGACTCCAGAGCGCCGGGAGAGCGACTCTTGCA